TTAAAGAGGTCTTTTGCGGCAGGTTTGCCTGATGCAGTAAGTAGCTCACTGATTTCTGAACTGCTGCTGCGTTGGTTAGCTCCCTCGCTGTCTACACCCGTGACTCTTTGTCACCTTCATGGATCGGATTATTTTCCCTCCATCATGCTTCCCTTGGCTCCGAGGAGCGCTTGTCTTGTGGCTGCATTACGGGCAGGAGCAGCCTGCTGAGCTCGCTGCTGTATCCAGCCCCGTGGATGACGCAGAGCACCTAGCACTTGTTGAATGTATGCTGGAAGAGCTGCCGGGGCTGGCAGGTTTCCATGCCTCTGTACGAAAGAGCCCTGGTGGCGCAGTGAGTTAGTCCTTGGCTGCCAGTTGCCAGCTGGGCTGTTGGAACTACCAAGCAGCTCCCAGGAGACAACAGTTAACGTTGTACTCCCATAAAGATTTCAGTAGGAAGCAGCTCTCCGATTTCCTGCAGTGCAGAAAATCCCTACTCAACTATCAGTCGCACAGGGAGACACGCGCATAAAAAACGCGCGAAAAAAACCCGAGAGGACACACACTGCAGTGATTGGTTCTGTTGTCCACAGAGTCACTATTAGTCAGAACCGACCTGGCACGCCGACTGTCGCCGACTGTCAATCACAACAACAAGAAAGTGCTTTTGTCCATGCCATCCCCAATGAATATTCTTGCCCTCCCACTTTACCTGCTTTTTAAATGTTTAAATAGTTTTGTTTGCACAGTGGTTACAAATTGGACCACAATCTGCAAGGTCAGCAGTTCAAACCACCAGCCAGCTAAACCCACAAAGAGTTACTGTCTTAGAAACACACAGGGGCTCTTTTACCCTGCCCTTCAGGGTCGCTGTGAGTTGGTGATGCCAATCAACTTAATGGCAGTGACTTAAGAGTTTATGCTTTGCATATCATGCAATTTAATCTTTCGATCATATTCAAAAGAGTTATGCAATCATCACCACAATCCGTTTCTGAGCACATCCACCTTTTAAACCCTTACAAACCTTTCCTTTTTTATCCTAGCTGAACCACTTGCTACCTTCCCGAATTTTTGTTGTGGGTGTTTGGCCCGCCAGGTCGGTTCTGACTAATAGTGACTCTATGTACAACAGAACCAATCACTGCACAGTCTGTACCACCCCGGATTCTTACCGAGCCTTTCATACGCACGTCTCTCCCTGTGCGACTGATAGTTGAGTAAGGATTTTCTGCACTGCCAGGTTGGACCCTGCTAGAGCAGTGGTTCTCAACCTTCCTAATGCCGCGACCCCTTAATATAGTTCCTCATGTTGTGGTGACCCCCAACCATAAAATTACTTGCGTTGCTATTTCATAACTGTCATTTTGCTACTGTTATGAATCGGGGGATGTTATGAATCGGGGGACCCCTCTGAAAGGGTCGTTCAATCCCCAAAGGGGTCGCGACCCACAGGTTGAGAACTTCTGTGCTAGAGGAACACGAGCTGATCTTACACATCTCTTAATCTTCGCAGCCGGATACCTTATGTAGTATATAACCACCAGGTCGCAGTGACCCGGTTTCAGTCATCAGGATTTTTTCTCTGTGTTTGAGAAGAACGGTGCTCCACGGTGCTTTCAGTGATTGTGTTTTCAGACATAGACCTCCAGTTCTTTCTTCCAAGGAGTCTATGGGTGGGCTGGAAACTCCAACCTTCGGCCAGCAGCTGATCTTAGTACCTGTTTATGCCACCCGGAAGCTCCATGTATTATTTAGCAAGTAATAAAAGTATGTTAGCAGGAGGGACCAACCCTTGGAGGAGGACATCATATTTGATAAAGTAGAAGGCCAGCTAAGAAGAGGAAGACCACCAATGAGATGGATTGACACAGTGGCTGCAATAATGGGTGCAAATAAAACCACAACTGAGAAGACAGTGCAGGACCGGGCAGTGTGTGGTTCTGTTGAACGTAAGGTCACTGTACGTTGGAACTGACTATGGAACCTAACAACAACAACAACAACAACACGTAAATATTTATTGAGTGAAGTAAGATATTGGTTGCCTCCTTCTAATTTTCTTTGAAAGCCAATATTTCATTCAGAAATATTTCATTCAGAAAAATTTCATTCAGAAATATTTAGCAGACAAGGTTCTTCCATCATATGGATGTTTGTCCTGGTGAAAAGGCATCATTGCATTTTGAAACTTTGGGGATTATGAAGATGACCCTTACAGAAGAGTTTGAAGATGTAATAAGAATTGTGTGAGAAAAGAATTAAAACCACTTTTAATGCTAACACCTGTGGGTAAACATCCTCGTATCATTGTACTGTAGTTTTTTCCATACTTTAAAAAACCGCGTCATATAATATTTGTGAATGTTACATCCATTACTTTATCCATCTTTTCTATGGCAACCATGGACGCTATGACAGGAATAGACAGGATGCTGTGCATTACCTTTTCCAATTTAACACTTCCTCTGGACACTTGGTGTATCCGATTTGATTGTTCTTGGATCACCATACTTTTTCAAGGTAGTTTGTGTGCCAAGTGTAGCGATGACTCGGTACCGGCCCCTGCATTAATGCAAGACCTGCTCTCTGAATGATGCACACCTCAGTTCCTGACATGGACTTCCTCTAGGACAAAAGTTAGCTGGACTCGAAAACACATCAAGTGGCCTCGTGGATAGCCAGCAGAGAGGTTCTGAAGTGTTGTCACTGCGTGAACATTAAATCCCAGAGATGAGCTAAGGAAGCTGGGAGGTTGGAAGCAGCCACATCGTGGCTGGGGAAGAAAGGCCTGGCTCGATCTGCTTCCCTCAAAGTAAAGCCAGGGAAGACAAACAGTGCAGTTGAGACAATTCCAACTCATGCCGACCCCATATGCTGCAGGGTAGAACTGCTCCGTAGGATTCCTTCACCGTGATCTTGGTAGTCACTTAGCCAGACCTTTCCCTTGCAGTGCCACCGGGGGGCTTCAAAGCACCAGCCCTGAGATTAGTTGAGTGTAAACCATTTGTGCCTCCGGGCTTCCTGTGAAATTGCAGCCCTTGAAAAGCCTTTGTTTTGTGATCCAAAGATGACAGTAACAAAACCCAAATATGAAGGGAAAAGTACCAGATCTTAAATTATGACTTCCCAATTTGTAGAAGGCTGTGGAGGACAGTGGGAACCCCAAACCCGTCTGATGAGTATCTAGCTAGATTAAGCCTCTGGCAGACCCCCACTAGCCATAGGCAAGGAACTCAACCAGCTTTACTATCACACAGAGATCAGTGTAAACTTGATTATGCCGGATCGAACTTGATACTTGGTCAGTTGACCTCCCTCTTGACCGAGCCTGAATTTGTTCTAGGCTCAAGTATTTCTTGCTTGTTACATGACAAAAGATTTCTTCCCTGGCTGTTTAAATATTGATGGTGGTCTTTTCTTTCTTGTTTGTTATTTGCATTTTTTATCTTTATATTATTGTTATTTTATCCTTGCCATTTTATTTTGGTTTTGTTCTTTATTGTTTCTGTTGGGTTTCCCAGTTTGTGAAGCATGGTAGATGCATAGAGATAATAACTGATGTAAAGTGTGTGTGTGGTCGGGTGGGGGGGGCCGGTGAAAGGTAGGGTGAGGGGGTTGGGGGAGCAAACAATGAATCCAGGAGCGGGGGTGGTGGGGAGCACTGGACCTGATTGTGTTTATGTTTATATAACTCATTTAAAAACCGATTTAGCCTCCCCTTACAGAAGGGTCTCTGGGAGGAGACGAGCCAGTCAGGGTGCGATGTAGCAACATTTCCTCTAGTTCCTAAATGCTTCCTTCCCCAATTCTACCTTAAAAATCTGGCTAGACCAGAGGGTACACTGGTACAGATAGGAACTGGAAACACAGGGAATCCAGGGTGGATAATTCCTTCAGGACCAGTGGTGAGAGTGGCACTACTGGGAGGGTAGAGAGAGGGTGGGTTGGAAAGGAGGAACCAATTACAAGGATCTACATGTGACCTCCTCCCTGGAGGACAGACAACAGAAAAGTGGGTGAAGGCAGACGTCAGGGAAAGATATGACAAAATAATAATTTATAAATTATCAAGGGTGCATGAAGGGGGGGGATGAGCTGTTAGCAGGGGCTTAGGTGGAGTGCAAATGTTTTTAGAATGATGAGGGCAATGAATGTACAAATACTTTACACAATTGATGTATGTATGGATTATGATGAGTTGTATGATCCCCTAATAAAACGATTAAAAAAAACAAAAACGATTTAGCCATGGAGTGTATGATATGTGAATACATCAAGAAAACCACAAGAAGAAAAAAAAGGAAACACCAAACTTGGTTTTGTTACCATAGGCGAAGGGGAAAGAGTTGTTGCATAGGGGACAGTGAGGTTATGTCAATGGTGTTAAAATAATTTAGGACAGGATATCCATACTTGTACAACACGAAGACTATAATCAATGACACTGAATTATACAAGAATAAGTTGTGGGATTGGAGAATGTTCTTGTCTGTATATTTTTGCCACCATTAGAAAAATAATAATTCTATAAATAACAATGACTAAATAGAAGAATATGTTCTGAATTGAATATGGTGAAAATGGTGCAACTCACTTCTTGATATGATTAAATTATCAAATTGTTTGACAGGTGGGTGAAGTGCTAATAAAACTGTTAAACTAAAGAAAGAAAAGCCTTTGCGCACAGTTCGCTATGCTGAAGCATGTCGGGTTGCCGTGAGTTGGTATGGCATTAGGTAGGATCTGTCTTCCCTCAGGATAACACACACCACTGCCACGCCTGTTTCCTTTGGAAGTAGGAGGCAGGATCCCTGGGAGAAATTTCCTTGAATATTTGGGCTGCGGGAAATCTGTCTTAAAGAATAGATTTGCTGTCTAGCTGCCAAAGTCGTTTTGGGTGGGTGTTGTGATTATAAATATTAGAAATTAATGTGTAAATCTGAATGTTATGAATTAAAAAGATATTGTAGCTATTGCCAGAGCCGATTCATGACATTTGTCACTGCTTCTATCAGGGACCTGATACCCATCATTGCTGCTCTGGAATACAACCAGTGGTTCACAAAGCTGTCCGTGAAGGATCTAAAACTGGTAAGTCTTTGACGATACAGCAATTGCTGCTTGGCTTGGCAGAATTCCAGGAGCCTGGTCCTTGCCGCCCCCTCAATTGTTTCCCCATCATACTGGTGAGCTGAGCACATTTTATTTCTCGCAGAGACATGTGTTTTGTTTTCTTTTGTTCCTGTCAATGATTTGCAGGGGAGTGGAAAAAAGTTTGCAATGTGAGCTTGTTTGGCGAAGCACTTCCTCTTGTTTTCAGCTGCTTTGGGCAATTTTATCAGATGACTAGGAAGATACATTCAGTGCAGCCCTCAGTGCCTGCTCATTTGCTTGGCAAAAACGATTCAGATTACATTTGTACAGCTGCCAATAGGTTTTATGTCTCTTTCTTGCATTCTGCCTCCAGAAAGGTGCTTTTATTTTTTGATTCTAAGGATTTAGGGAAGGTGAACAGGTAGAGTTGGTCTGCCTGAGTTTTGGGGCAGTTTTGTCTGTAAGCAACATGAATTCACAGTGAGACCTGTTGGTTTTCATCCGGCATGAAGGAGCTCAGTCTTTGGTTTGCTATACCAGGGGGAAATCAGAGGCGCTGTCAGGGGGGTTTGCACATTCAAAGCAGGCATCTGGGCAGATGCTTATCCACGAGTTAGCCCTCTCTGGTTTCATTTCAGGGCAGGAAATAGTTCAGACATGGTTTTATAGACTTCTTCTCGAGACTCCTGCTTTCAGAGGCCGGAGGGTGTGGGGATGCCAGGGTCACTGTGACAAGGTGGAATTTGCATGGAGACATGAATTTGGAGGAAGTGAAAGGTTGGGATTGGGTCATGAAGGGGCTTGCTGGCGTGCAGCGTTCTCCTGGGTTGGCTGGCTGAAGGTGCCATCGTGTGAGTATGGCATCATCTTCGGTGGTGGCGGGTGTGTGTGTGTGTGTGTGTGTGTGTGTGTGAAGAACTAGCGGTGTAGTGAAAAGAAGGTGGATTTAGAATTGGAAACCTCAGCGCAGGTTCTGGCGGTGAGGCTGTGTGGCCTTGAAATAACAATGGAACCTCTCTGGGCTTCATTTTTATGGTCGTCAGTTGTTATTTTGATTCTGGCTCACAGGATGCCTGTGAGTGCACAGTAGAACTGCCCTGCTAGGCTCCCAAAGCTGGGACCGTCTCAGAAAATGGAACACCACAATTTGCCCACACGGAGTGGCTTTTGGATTTGAACTGCTGACATTTCATTTACAGCTGAGGGTGTAACCACTGTGCTTCCACGGCTCCTTTAGGCTGCTGGTTGAACGCAAACCATTTGGCCACCCAAGGACTTATTAATTTGGTGCCATATAAATTTGTTAAAGAAATACAGGAACCATTTTGAAGTTGTTGAGAAGGGTAGATGATGTCTGGAGACATCTAGCCCACTGCCTGGCATATGCAGGCATTTGTGGTAACTGGTAACTGCTGGTGCAATCATTACTACCATCAGACCAGCAAAGACCTTGCACGTCTAGGCATGCACATTTTGGAAATTGTGCTGGCTAGACAGAAGTGGTATACTCGGTGAGTGAGATGGAGTTAGGGGCAGCACGGGGCTAGTCAAGCCACACCCCAGGGAACAGGCAGGTAGCCATGCTAGGGGACCTGGGAACAGCCTGTCCTAGGATGAGGACCAAGGGAAGGGCAGGGCTGGCACATGGAACCTGGGGAGCCACTCTATGTGTGAGGTAGGTAAGTCCAGCGATTGGAGCGTCACAGAGAACCAAACCCTTCTCTCAAATCAGTTTCCTGGCTAATTGACACCTTTGTCTCAACTGGTCGCTTTCAAAACTGGAACCCTGCAGGAACTGCAGAAGAGAACTCCGAGGAGAGGCGGAGAAGCGTCTGGCTTTGGAAAGTGATGATTTCACTAGTAAGAAAATGTGATCCGCCAGCTGGTGCTGCCATTCTGTCACCATCCTCCCTGCTGCCTGAGATGGCGAGGAAAGATGTTATGGTGAACATAGTCCTTTTGGCTTGGGCAACAACAATCGTGAAAAGTGTGCACATGCTTCTTGTGAGTCTAGAGCCATAGGGGGCTTACACGATTCAAGGACTGTTTTATTGCCCTGTTATTGCCTGAGATTTTAAAATAACAATGCATATGTGTATATTTTTAATATATGGCATAATTTTATTTTAGGTCTCTGGCATACCAAGATAGTAATCTATGTATTTTTCACCCTAAATGAAGAGATGATCCTTTCTCCTTTGCTGGGCACTACATTAGGACTGTCTCAAAACACTGTCAAATACTGATCCTGGTTGAAGGAAAGGACAACCTTGCTTTGGATTCTTAAACCATTAAGTGCATGACAAACATAAGGAGTCCTCCCATGTTACACGAGCTCTCTAGGTTGTTCAGATTGCTCCCAGCTCAGTAAAAGTCTCCCGTGCTAGGGAGCCACAGGAAGAATAGGAATCACAAGCTTTACGCTAAGGTTATGAAGCCATTCCTCCCCTCCCTCTGCTGGTCACTGCGCCTGATTTAAATATCACGTTGCGTGTGTTTAAGATAAAGTCAGATACTTGAGCAAGATCAAGTGTCCAACGTTCTTGATTTATTACAATAGCAGAATTGGGAGCACGCACAACTTTTTCATTTTCTAGCTTAGACAAGCCAGTGAACAGTGGTGTGTTTGCCTAGTCTTTTGAAAGTAATCATCTTGCTCCCATCAAATCAACACAGACTCACAGTGTCCTCCTGTGGGTTACCGAGACTGTAACTATTTACAGGAGTAGAAAGCTCATTCTCTCTCCCTCGGAGCTGCAACAATGTCTTTGAACTGCCGACCATGTGGCTGACAGCGTATCGCATAACCACTACACCTCCAGGGCTCCTTACAGAGTTATGATGCTGGACCATATTATATATATGGTTCCTTTCAGTTCTCAAATGCCACATTTATTTTATTTTCCACTACAATCGCATTACCACTGAGTACTTTTGGAAATCATTGTGACCCTGTGGGAAAGAGCTCTGTGGGTTTCCAAGATCATACATTTTTATGGGAGTACAGAGCCTCATCTTTTTCCTCAGAGAGACTGGTGGTTTTGAATGCTGACCCACACCACCAAGCCCCTTATTTTTGCACTAAATTCACTTTTTGCTTTAAAATTATTCTCCTCTAGGTTTTCTTGTATACATTTGAGTTTAACTAAAGTAAGCTCCTTGAAAGTCATGTGCACAGCAGGCATGCCCAAATATGCTGTCAATTTTAGTAAAAGGCAGAACTGGACTTTTTAATTATTTATTATTTTTATTGTGACTTGGGTGCAGGTGAACCGAGCAGGTCATCAGGTTCGTATTCAGCGATTGAGACACCTTTGGTTCCGTCTCATTCGTTGCATGTACCGCCACTTCTTCTTGTGCTTCCTAATTCCTCGCCTCCTCGTTTCCCAACGCTTCCGAACCTTGTCCTGGGGTAGATGCTGCCCCTCTGGTTTCAAGTGGTAGATTATTCCAAGGGATGCCCACTGCCCTATTCTTATTGTTCCCTTTATAGACCAGTCTGCTGTTTGGCAGAAAGCTGAGCCACGGTGTTGAATTCACGTCCAGACTTGAAATGTGGCTATGGATTATAGTTGCCGGAGTTTCTCCCATCGCTTTCTGACCTCTTAGCCTGGCCTCTTTCTGACTCTTGAGTTTTGTTCCACATTTTCCTCGAGGACGGTAGCCATAGCCAGGCACCGTCTAGCTCTTCTGGTCCCAAGGTCATGAAAACCAATGTTGGCATGATCCTTTGGGCTGTTTATGTTTTGTAATAATGCAGGGCACAAATAATGATGAAATCAATAATAAATAAAATCTCCAAGGAAAATGAATTATAATTTTACCAAGGCACTCTTCATTTTTCACACTGTCCTCAAGACTCTGGTTACTCATTTGTCACTTTAATGGTTGTACTCTTAATATATGTATCTTATTTAAATGACGGTTTTCTCATTTAAGATACCATAAACATTTATAATGTTTTCAGACTTACATAGCTACTCATTTTTTATATATTTTTTCACACAAGAGAACATCATTTATCTAACTCTTTCCTGTCACTAGGCCGTTTAATTGTTATTTTACCTATTTCATACTAAAATAACTAGTGGGAACAGCAAAATGGGAGTTATGACTTATGAAGCACTTACTGAACCCCCTGATTAAATTACATGAATCATTAAATTTTTCTCAGCTACAAAAAGGGAATAATACTACCTAACAAATGTTTCATATATGGGAGTATATTAGTCTGGACAAACTAGGGAAACAAATCCACAGAAACTCATGTATAAGAGAGAATCTTATATAAACGGTAAGTGTACATTAAGAAAACATCCCAACCCAGTGCTGCCCAGCCCCATAAGTCCAACATTAACCCATATGTCCGACACCAATCCACAAAGTCCTCCTCTATCTCACTATAAACACACACTATGACGCCGACTGCTGGAAGAAAGCCGAATCAGTGAGTGTGTCAGCCTCTCAGTGCTGGCAGGGGTCTCGACGCGGCTGCTCTAGCACCCAGGGCTGCATTGGGGTAGGTCCATGGGGCTTCTCCTCAGGGATGTCTTGCAGGAAGTGAGCCTTGCCAACTGAAGCAGGGAACTGGCTAAGGCAGCTGAACCCTGGTCCGACTATCAGAAAGCAAAAGACCTGAGAACTAGAAAGGCTCACCGAGTCATTTATCTCTCTGTCCTTCAATTAACCCCACATGTGTTTATCGGCCAGGTTGGCACAGTAAGGCTTACCTATCTCAGGGAGGATTAATAAATCAGTACATATACAGAGCTTAGCTAAGTGCCAAGAGCTCCGTAAATGGATCCTCGTCGACATTGTTATCATCGTCAGTGCTTCTTAGTTTCAAACCTCCCTTTTGGACAGCACTTCCTTTCGGAAGCCCATGTTGGTTTGCCCAGGTCTCCTTGTGCACATTGTTGTTTAGCAGCTTCCAAGTTGACCCTGACTTTTTTCTTTTTTTTTGACCCTGACTCTTGATGACCTTTTGTACAGCAGAACAAAACGTTGCCTGGCCCGTTATCATCGTCACAATTGCCAGCATGTTCCAGCCCCTCTTTGGGGCTGTTGTGTGAGACTACCTCACGGCAGGTCTCCTGGACCCTCGCTAGCCCCCTGCTTCTTGCTGTCCTCCTTGCTGAAGTAGTCCCGCAAGCTCGTCACACAGTGTGTGGCCAGGATACTTCCAAAGTGGCGTTGTAAGAATAATTTTATCACATTTTCACTGTAACTTCTTATCTGCTTGTCCCTGCTGGATGGTGTGGAGGCAGGGACTCTGTCCTTTACATCATTGTACTCTCGGGACCTTCATCGTGATGGGACACAGTAGTAGCTGCCCTAAGCGAGCTCTATGGAAGGGATGGTTACGCGGATGAATAGCTTACTTGATTCAAACTTTGCATCAACATAGATTCGTAAGTGTGAAGTGAGACTTTCCCCCCCATGTAGCCTGTGGAATGATCAGAGCATGTGTTTCTGTTGCAGTCCACCGATGTCTGCGAGCAGATTCTGAGGGTGGTGAGTAGATCCACTCGACTGGAAGAACTGGTGTTGGAAAACGCTGGGCTCAGAGCGTGAGTATTTCCTAATGAGTATACATACACACAGTCTCAGCCACTTTACCTTCAATTGAAGCATAGTTCTAAAAACAAGTTAGGGTGCTCACCCAGAGAAAGTGACCTTCCCTTTGTGAAGAGAACGAGCCCTCAGGAGTCCTGTCATCATCGTGGCGGCACTGGTTGGAGGGCCACTGTTGCTAGCGTGTCACTGAGTATTTTTGAGGCTGCCCGGGACAGGGGCTAAGAGTGTGGCTCCTGCAGCTAGAGGCCCTATGACCTTGGGTGCGTTTTTAAGCCTTCTCTGCCTCGCCTCAGTTGCTTTGTCTTGCAAATGGACATAATCATAGTACCTATCTTAAGGGATAATGTGTGAGGATAAAATGAATGAATATATGGAAAGTGCCTGGAAAGATGCCATTCCCACAGTAGGTGCTACGTGTTAGCCATTATCATAATTAATGATCATTATCATTACCAATGGCAATATGGTTGTCTTTAGTCGTTGCTCCCTTTTCAAATGAACACTCACCCAGTCTTCATCTCAGGGACCGATCTTTGACTAGTCCATCCTTAAGTAGGGGCTTGGTGTTTGAATCTGGTAGAACAAAGGCTTTACTGTTACTACAGGAAGTAGGTTGACAGTTTGTAATTGTAGCGCTTAGGGTGTTATTTAAAGTGAAACAACTAAAATAGTGGTTCTGACTTTTTTTGTTGTTCTTAAAATACCGTGCTAGCAATTGTAGCCTTTAAACTCATTAATTAGAGCAAGCCATTTTCCATTCGTGAGCATTGCACGCAATACGAACTAGAATGTAGTGAATCAGCCTGCTGTAATTTTCATGAAAAGTAGGTTCCACTCAGGAGTCCTTGCCCACAACCCCCTTTAAGCTTGGAGGGACCGCGTCGTGTTATTCAAGAGCATGCAGCCACTCTAAAAAGGTTGAAGCGGTTTCTTTAGAGGGACAGATTTTCTTTATGCTTATGACGGGGACTTGGGCCCATATGACTTTCCATATTATTTTAGGAGGAAACAGACCCACATGATAAAGATTCCCTGTCAACAAACATATGATGCAGACTTTAGCAGTGCTAGGAAGGTTTCTCTTTTTCTTATTTCACAGTTTCACATTTTGTGTCATTAAATCTCATTGTCTTACTGACTTTCAGAGATTTTGCACAGAAACTGGCCAGTGCTCTCGCTCATAATCCCAACTCAGGACTCCACACGATTAACCTTGCCGGCAACGCACTGGAGGACAGAGGTACTGTATAGCATGGAGCAGTCACACTGGCATCGATGTCAGGATCAAACCAGAATTATAACCAAACCCGCTGTCATCATCAAGTTGATTCTGACTCATAGAGACCTCTAAGACAAAGCCGAACTGTCCCCGTGGGTGTCTGAGGCTGTAAATCGTTCCCGAAGCAAACTGCCTCATTTTTCTTCCACAGAGGATCCGAGGGCTCCAAACCACCAACCTTTTGGTTTGCAGCTGAGTGCTTTAACAAGTGTATAACCCAGGCTTCTTGTAAGAGAACTGTAGACAAATTCAATTATCTGACACTCAGTAGGAGTGTCGGTGTAAGTTGTAATTAAGCTATGCGTGATGCTGATGCTCATGTAGGCTACTCATCCTTTCATTCCTCGCATGAAATTATACCTGCTAAGACCCTATTATCTGGTTAACTTTTTTTTTTTCAGTGACCCCAAAGAAGAAGAGGATATCGTTTTCAAACTAATCATATTAGCCTTGGTGGAGTAATAGTTATGTTGGGCTACTAAATGCAAGATCAGGAGTTCGAAACCCACCAGCCAACTGGCTTAGTGGTTCCATGTCCGTCAGTGACTCCAGGGGGCAAGACAGGGCTTTCTATCCCCACAACGAATTCCAGTCTGGGAAGCTCACCAGGGCAGTTCTTCCCTGTCCTGTGAGTCAGCATCAGCTCGAAGGCAGTGAGCTCTTTCTGTCTAACAGCTTAAAACAACACTCAGAAGAGTATCTCCTCATGCTGGGCTCTGCTCAGGATCTCTCCAGGTTGCAACAAGTTATCCTCAGGCGCTGCGGTCACATCTGTGGCTTTCTTTCCTTGTCGGGATTACTGGTGGTTGGTGGAATATTGTCTATTTGGGGCTAGAAGATTGAGGTGTATTTTCTTCTCGGCTACCTGCTCAGGCTTACTCCATCTCCTACAGGCTGAACTTAGGTCCTTAGCAAATGGCCCCTTTCTCTCAAAGAAGAACAGGTTGCTTCATCTTTGAGGCCAGCAGGAGTATATCTCTCTTCATCTTTTTCTAAAGACTCGCCTGATTAAGTCAGGCCCACTCCCAGTTAGTATCCCTTTGAATGCACCCAAAGGTAACTGACTGGTAACCTCACTGTAGAAGTTGTATCCTATCATATTCACAGGTTCCACTCACATGTGAGGGTACTGAGCAGAGTGCATGCACGGGGGAGGGGGGCAGGAATCCTCGGGGCTATCATACAATTCCAGCTATCACAAGGCAGTTTAATATTTAACAGGATTTGAATGTGAGGATAAGGAACGGTTGAGAAGACTGGAGTTCAGGATAACATAGAAGAAGCTTTCATTAAAAGTGTTTGCATGGTGCTTTTCCGGTCTCTGGTGCTCTGGGAGCAACAGGCGTTGGTGTCGGCACAGATATGGTCAAGCACAAGAACCACACCCGGAAACGGCACAGAAATGGCATCAAGAAACCCCGATCACAATGACAGGAATCTCTTCAGTGGGTGGACCCCAAGTTCCTGAGGAACTTGTGCTTCGCCAAGAAGCACACTAAGGAGGGCCTGAAGAAAATGCAGACCAACAATGCCAAGGCCACAGCTGCTTGTGCCAAAGCTATCAAGGCTTTTGTGAAGCCCACAGACATCAAGGCTAAGATCCCACTGGGGGGGCATCATCCACAAGCTCAGTCAACTGGGCCACATTGCCCACCCCAAGCTTGGCAAGCAGTCTCAGGCATGTATTGCCAAAGGTCTGAGACTCTGCCAGCCCAAGGTCAAGGCACAAAGCAAGTGTGACATTCCAGCCAAGGCCTTAATTCCAGTTCAAGCTCCCAAAGGTGCCCAGGCTCCCACAAAGTAGAGTTCCCTGTCCTCCGACAGGGGGAACTGGTGTGAGCCCAGGGCTGCCATCTGCATGGAGCTGGTGTCCTGTGCTGGTTGCACAAAGAAACCCAGGCGGCACTGCAAAAAAACCCAACAACGAACAAAAAACGTGTTTGCATGGCTTCAGGAAAGATTGAGTCGGCCTGGAAAGTGAAACATGAGAGTTTGAATACTCATTTGAATTCTCGCTGATGGATGAGACTTAAGAACTAGCCTTATCTCTAGAAGGAATATTTTGTTTTCTTTGCAAATGTTTTCCAGCTTTGTTGAGTAAGGGCTTTTCATCCTGCGATGTTTTTTATTTGATGAGGATTAATTATTTACACCGAACTGAACATTCTGATGTAAGCATCCAGTTTTGCATTTTCTTCCCAATAAGGCCGTTGTTCTGTGTCCCAAAATATACCCATGTTGTATATAAACGCAAAACTCTCAGGGGTAACTTTGCAGCATTTAGAGAAGTGCAGTCAAAGGGTGGTTGTGACTAAATTAGAAAAACATGACATGAAAAGCAGACTGATACGAATTAAAGCAGAGCATAATGGATGCCTATTCCTGGGATTTGGGAGACCTTGGGTTGTGAATTGGGCTAATGGTCCTACCTGCTAATGAACAGTTGGGGGTTTGAGGCCATTGGGATGCACCTCAGAAGAAAGGCCTGGCAACTACCAAATACCCCGCAAATGCAGCCATCGAAAACCCCGTGGAGCATATTTCTCCGCAGGCCTGGCAACCCATGGAGTCACTAAGAGTCAGAATTGATTCACTGACAACTGGTTTATATTTTGAATTGAATATTTTTCTGATGTATAATAATTTCATTGAGAAGAAGAAACACTCCCTCTCAGTCAAATGCTCTGGAGAGGTAAATGTGAACCAAGAGTAAGCGGTACAGACCATTTCTTATGCACAGGAGGGCTGTTTTGGTTAGGTTTCTAAGATGAACAGTATGCTGCTGCATGTTCTTGCTGGTGGAACCTGATCAGTAGAGAGAGGCAGGCCATTAAGAGAGTGATATCCACCAGACAGAAGAAGTAAGAAAGAAGACAACGGTATTAGGATTGGAGAAAGACTCCTGAACTAAGTGCAATATGCCAATAGCATCCTGCTTGCTGAAAATGAAGAAGATATGGCGCACTGATGAAGATCAGAGACTACATACAGCTTTCAGTAAGGATTACACCTCCACCTAGAGCAAACGAAAGTCCTCGCAACTGAACTAAGAAGCAACATTATGGTAAACAGAGGGGAGATTTCATTTCACTTGGATCCAGTCAATGCCCATGGAAGCAAAAAGTCGAGATATCAAATGCTGTGTTGAATTAGCTAACTCTGTTACACAAGACTTATGTAAAGTGTTAGAATGGGGAAAGTATCCCCTTGAGGGCTGAGTGGTGCCTTACCCAATTGCCTTATATGTATGTGAAAGCTGGAAAAAAATTAAAGAAGACTGCAGGAGAAGTGATGCATTTGAATCATGATTTTGGTGAAGAATATTGAATATGTACCATGGGCTTCCAGAAGAAACAAATGTGCTATGTGTCATAGACGTATAGCCAGAATGCACCTTAGATACATGGATGTCAACATTTTGCCCATATACGTTGGATATGGCACCAGGAAGGGCCAGTCCTCAGAAAAGGACCGGGTCAGGATTGGGGGGAAGGAGGAATACCTTCAGTGAGCTGAGTTGACACAGTGGCTACCCATTTGATTTCAAATTGTTGATTATTCTGAGTTGGTACCTGCCTAGTGCTATTGTTCTCACTATGGGCCTATTAGTTAGATCAGCAGTTCTCAACCTGTGGGTCTCATCAACCCCTTTGGGGGTCAAACAACTCTTTCATAGAGGTCGTTTGATTCATAACAGTAGCAAAATTACAGTTATGAAGTAGCAACGAAAATAATTTTATGGTTAGGGGGTCACCACAACACAAAGAACTGTATTAAAGGATCGTGGCTTTAGAAAGGTTGAGAACCACTGAGTTAGATGAAAATTTAGTCAGAAGGGTGAGTTCATTTATAGGTCTGAAGAAGGCCTAAGGGCCATATTCTTGGGAGTTCTGCCAGTTTCTATCCAAACTGGTCAGCCTGTTCTTTTTTAATTCTGAATTGTGTTGCACAGTTTTCTCCCACTCTATCCAAGACCTTCTTATGTGATCCCTTTCAGAGCAGTTGGCAGCGTTAGCTCGATGCCATCTGGTTTTTCCTGTGCCATGGTCATAGAGACTGACATCCACATTGTCCATTCATCCACTAGGCTAATTGTCTCCGTGCATCTTTGGTTTTCATCGTTCTTGGTTCCTCTGGACAAGAGAGACCAGTAGTTGCACCTTCTGTGACTGCTTTCGGATTCATTGCTCTCTCTGGCACTGCCCTTGAATATCTGTTAACTCCAGTCTTCCCAGCTCCCTTCACTTTCTGGGTCTGAGCTCCCTGCACACCCCGAGAGGAATTACTGAAACCCAAATAAAGGCTGGGCATGATAGTGAGACAAGAGGAAAGTAAAAGGAAATAGAGGAAATAACTAGGAGGCAAAGGGTATTTATAGAGGTCTAAATGCAGGCATATACATATGTAAATATATGTATGATGATGGGGAAATAGCTCTGTGTGCATCGATGTAAAGGTTTAGTATTTAAGTAGCAGATGGACATTGGGCCTCCACTCCAGTAGTCCCTTAATGCAAGAACACTTTGTTCTATTGAACTGGCATTCCCTGATGCTCACCTTCCCGACACGATTGCTGAAGACAAAGGGGTACTTAAGAAAATGTGGTGAAGAAAGCTTATGATGCCTGGCTATCCATAGATATAGTGTCTGGGGACTTAAAGGCTTGAAGATAAACAAGTGGCCATTTAGCTGAGAACCAACAAAGCCCACATGGAAGAAGTACACCAGCCTGTGTGATCACGAGGTATGGATGGAATCAGATATCAGGCATCAAAGAACCAAAAATCGTATCATTGTGAATGAGGGAGAATGGGGAGTGGGGAACCAAAGCCCATCTGTAGGCAACTGGACATCCCCTTACAGAAGGGTCACAGGGTGGAGAAGAGTCAGTCAGGGAGCAGTGTACTAACGATGAAACATACAACTTTCCTCTAGTTCTTAAATGATTCCTCTTCCCTACT